TTATTTTGTTATATTTTTGTAGTTCCATAAATATTAAATAAATTGAAATTTTTTAAAATGAGTATAAATATTTTTACTGTTTTACTTATATTTTTGTAAAAATTCGAAAACCGGTTTTTGGAAATACTGGAATTCGAAAACATTTTTTTTTCTTCAAAAGTCGGTTTTTGTATAAACCCTAATACGAACCCCATTACGCACAAAACGACGAAACCACTGCCACATTGAATTTCTGAAAGCGTTTCTCGCTGTTACAGTTGGGACACTATTTGAAATCGGTACGGCCGGCCGTACTTCAGCTGTTTTGTCGCTGGAAGAACACTTCCTGTGTTGTCTTGTTAGGTTACGCGTTATTAAATGTATCATGAAAATCAGCGAACGATTTCGATGCGAAGTTCAAGGACGAACACTCCAGCTCATAAATACGTGTATACCGTATTTGCAACGACACTGGTTTTGAGCAGGGACATCGTAGTAAGAGTGACCTTGATTCAACTGTGACGGGCAAAGTATCTGTATATCTGATTGTACTGTGTCGTTTGCTCTAATGTCGTAGGTGCACATAACCTCACTTTCTTTCCAAGAAACTGAATTGTTAAAGACAGAAAGAACACTAAAAAATATCCGACTCATGTAATCTCGCTTCGTTTCTGAGATGTCCGGGGTTCAAATCTGGTCCCAATACAGGCTAACCTAACAACGTTTTTCGTGAATTTCTTCAGTCCCTCCAGCTTATTGCCAAGATCGTACATAATTAGGCCACGGCCGCTTGTTTCCACTTTCAAGTTCACCAATCACCTTCTCATCAGATACTCTTCCGTCTTGTATAACCAAAACATCTTCCATAACTTCCAACTTCTCATCAACTTTTTCTACATGTGAGCACTAATTATTTACATTCCTGTGTTATTCAATATATAGGATTTTCTAGTCGGATTGCCGTGGTCTCCATCTGGTGGCTATGCGAATTTTTGATGGGCTGGAAACGTAGCTCGGATAGGCGAGGCAATTCATAGGCGTCGAGTAGAAAGACAGAGAAGATAACATGAAGACAAGGATCAGGAAGGAAATTGAATGTAAGAACGGGAGATGACTAAACTGGTTCAATATAATGTCCACTTTCGGGTTCTGGCACAGATAATTCATCGTCATTAAAAACTCGCTTATATCACCTCTTCTGTTTATTACACGGTCCCTTGAAATTACCAATGCCAACTTCTGAGAAAAAAAATGCCACGAGTTTCACGAAAGCTTGTTCGCCTCTCCTCAGTTTTTAAGCTGGTTACTTACAAGGGAGCCACGGGATGTTCACTTGCAGGCGATCGGAACGCCCCCAGTCCCCTAGAAGTCCGGTGGTGCCCAAGCGGACCGTGGCTGATACGAGCACCACCGCTAGCCAGGTTCGGCACCCAGTGCCTGTTGCCACCGCCATCTGTCAGCTGGTCAGTGTCGATATCTGCAGGAACAGAACAATATTTTTTCAATATGGAAGTCTGCTAACTATTTTTAAATTATTAATTACATTTTAGAAACGTATAAACATGAGGTTCTCACGGCTATGATGATAATGGTATTCTGGCTTGTGACGCTGTGTGGACTTTAAAAGGTACGAGGTGCGATCGGAAAGTTTCAAGACTGCGCGTATAAAAACCCGTACACTTATCTCAGGTATTAAATTCATCCATCACCCTCGAAGTAGTTCCCCTGGGAGTGAACACAACGATCCCAGCGCCGCTGCCAAGCCTGGAAGCATCACTGGAAATCTTTCTTTGTCAGCCTGTCAAGCACCATCTGCGATCTAACATCTAACCATCCCATCTCTCCTCCCCGAAGCGCTTTCAAGGCGTGTAGTGAGGATAGTAGGTGAATTTCATTTCGCTACGTATCGGACAACAAATATTCCTCAGAGTACAAATTGTAATAATCGTAATTCTCGTTAATATTGAGTACGTGGAATAATTAGACTGCATTAAAGTTCACCTTCATGTAACTCACTACAAGCAAGTGTGAACAGTTTGTACGCAATAAAATTTATGAGTATAGACACCGGAAAACATTTACTGTAGATCAGATTGTTGAAATAGATCTGTCTAAAAGACTTAACAAACTTGAAGATGGCTGTCTTCTGGGTTGTTGGGCCGTGTAGTCCGGTTGTAATTCGCCGACATGGTTACCTCCATCATCAGGGCGATGAGTACCCCCGATGATGGAGGCAGAAAATACCTCTGAAAAGTAGGTAAACTTCTACCAGACTACATTACGCAACAAACTATAAGACAGCCATCTTCAGACTCACCGCCTTGAAAACCTCAAATGCTACTGAAGAAATCTTCTCTTTTAATCCTGCTTTGCGCTATGGATCATATATTTCTTTGCGAGCTTCGTTTTTTACACGTTTCTTTGTTATTTCGCTATCAATATTTTCTTTGAGCTATACTTTATCTGCCCACGGAACAGCAAGTGCTAACTTTATGAAGACTGAGGCAGTAAAGCACAGACAGATTATGTTGGTAGCCAAACAAAAGACGGGCGGGGAAAATGGCCGGCACGGAAGAGGATTTATTTACGAGTGTGGTAGGAAACGTTTCCTTATCTGTGAGCCTTCGACCTCTTTCACAATGTGTTTCACCAGCCAACAATGGCTATCACCGCCACCAGAAACAGGTGTTAACAAAGCAATTGACAGAAAGAAGGAGGTTATGTGATCTGTGATCGCCTGATGCCATGTTGTTTTCTGTCGTCAGTAAAACGCCTGCTCGCGCAACCTTGACGCTATTGGTCAGAAGGAGAAACACCTAAGAAAGTAGCTCTCGAGATAACTTGTGGTAGTTTTGCTTTGTTCTGAAATGTTGTCAACATGGCGTTAAAACCCACAAGACAGAAGAAAGTGTTAACAAATTTATATATGCTTGTGACAAGATATGGGATCTAATATCTCGTTACAGAGACATTTCAGACGTAAGATACTTTTCGGTAGAGTATCTTTCGTTATATGTATTCATTGTTACGAACACCTTCAAAGAGGATCCTGGTTGTCAAAACGTGCTGGGAAATATTTGTAATTTGTTCACTCTTTTGAGGACTCATGTGCCTTATAATTTTTATTGTTAATATTATTATCTACCGTTGATATAACATGATCTCAGGTGCGTATAAACTTTTTGTTCTGACGTATATTGTCCAGTGGTTGCGAACTAACTAACCCCTCAGAGTGAGTGTCCTTCCCGTTAATCACGCCTGGAGAGTAGGGCAGATACAGTACTCGAAACATTGTGTAATTTTATAAAATCAGACGATGGACAAACTCCAATAACCGAATAATCCAGACTGTATTGCACCATCGTCAGAATTCTTCAGAACGAAAAGCCAATAGTAAACTGAACAATGATAATACCTGATCCACGGAACACATCGACGTTGGCTGTCAGTTCAAAACATTTAACACAATTTCACATTGTCACAGAAATGAAACACTTGAACTGGACTATTACACTGCTTTACAAAAAAAAAAAAAAACACGCGATGACAGATCAAAACGTACACTTCACCGCTGTCAGTGGCTTCTGGTCAGGTAGATAAAGCAGACTGCAACCTTACAGCGAGTCTCAGCGACTTGACCTCAATTGGTCCTGCATTATGTCCGGTCGCTTCTAGTATATCCGCCGAACATGTTAACTCGCTCTCTCCTGTGTGCACAGCAGTGGCGTGTGAGGTGTGTATGGTCCGAATGGAATGCTTCTACTTACTTCCTTGAGAAAAATTCCGCCATTCTTTTGGCATCGGTTAGGAATAACAGCTAAATGCAGTTGCCAGTTTCAGAAACCTATAACAACCGTACGCAGTTCTAAAAAAAGACAGCAGAGGGCAGGAATAAAGGATTTCGTCCATCTGTCTCTAGATATGAACATAAATTAATCCATATAAAATAATTAATAGGATTAAGAAATAAGGAAACAATTAATTCGAGACAGCGACAACGGATCAAAACGCGAGGCTCTTTATGAAAATAATATCTTTTCTTTCGTCCCACTATAGGTTACGAGGTGCGATCGGAAAGTTTCAAGACTGCGCCTATAAAAACCCGTACACTTATCTCAGGTATTAAATTCATCCATCACCCTCGAAGTAGTTCCCCTGGGAGTGAACACAACGCTCCCAGCGCCACTGCTAAGCCTGGAAGCATCCCTGGAAATCTTTCTTTCTCAGCCTGTCAAGCACCATCTGCGATTCTGCCTGAATCTCTTCTATCGTCTCAAATCTCCTTCCCTTGAGCTGAATTTTCATCTTTGGGAAGAGGAAGAAGGCACACGGAGCTTAGAAAGGAAGTTGAAGTCGGTTCTTGCAAGATCTTTGAGCTCCTGACAAACGAGAAGTCGATTCTGCTTCTGGTCCTAAGACAGGAGCCTTGGCACAAACTTGGCTGCGATGCGTCGCATGTGGAGTTCTTCCTTTAGAATCAGCTGACAGGTCCCATAGCCTATCCCAAAAATGTCGCACAAGTCGTTGATGGTACGACGTCGATCTTCGTAACATTTTCGGGCGTTGTGCTCGAAGATGGTCGTCCAGAACGCTCGTCATCATCGCCAGAGGTTCGGCCATTTTTAAAACGTGAATGCCACACAAAAGTTTGCGGACTCCCCAAATGTTTGCTTTAGCATTTCATAGGTTTCCTTAGCCGTTTTGGCGAGTCTTTGGCAACATTTGATGCACACGCCATTCCGAAATCGCAGGAGGGTCGGTGTAATGCACTACCAAAACGCCCGTAACTAAGAAACAAATGCTAATTCGATGATGCCGGCTGGCACACTGATTCACTATGAATGTAGGCCGCACCCCCTAGCGGCAGAAGCTCGTACTATATCCGGTTCGCCCTCTATTGACACAGTCTTTAAACTTTCCGATCGCACCTCGTAGTCGCGCCCCAATACTTTTCTTGGTAATTCAAATTATTGTGATTTTGACGATTTAAAAAATACATCTCTAGAAATAACTTTATGTAAATTTTAATTTTTCAGCTGTAAATCTTATGGCGAGTAATTATTTATTTAACGACGTATTCGAACAGAGACTGCCTATCAAGACCAGAAAGTTAGATTAAGCCGTAATCTTAATTTAAAAAAACAAACAATTCATATATTTTTGTAATTAAACATAGATTTTTCGGAAAGTTACAGACCCAAGTGCATCGAAATTGATAAATCTGCATTATGCTTAAAAAAAACTGGTAATAAGAATACATAAATTTTCAATTCAATCTAAAAATATCTGTTTCTTTTTTTAAAACTGAATGACTACAAGATTTATGAATAGTCCATCGATGAAGAATTGTAATTCTCTATTGAAAGAATGCGTACCCCGTGCCGTTATTGTACAGCGGTAGGAGTTTGTCAGTTTCAGCCTCGAAAAACTTCTATCGGCAGACGCAGTTATTCTCAGAAGATTAAAAAACATTTACATACACTTCACCAATTTTCGCTGAATAATCAATTTAAACATGTCAGAAACACGAGAAAGAATTACTGAACTTAACATTTACAATTCTTCAAACTCTCATCACCTGCAGATAAGAAATTTTTCTAAGGTTGGCAATGCCTGATCAGTTCTTTTTCGATGTTTTTTTTTCCTC